TTTGAGCTCGCGGGCCAGAAAGGAGTAGATGCGGCCCCGAGCTGGCTGCGCATTCTGGGCGAGACACTGCAAGATGCGGGAAGAACATCTGCTGCGTGGCCGATACAAGGCGCGGCCGTTCAGTCGAATCGTAGAAGCCATCGACGTCAACGAGACGGCAGCCCACATTCACCTTGATATGAGCGCCGGCCTCCACGGCGCGAGATACGCTTCCTTGAGATTAAAATTGCCGCTGACAGCTGCATGCCACCCCTCCTCTGTCTCCGCCGACCACTATCGGAGAGGGGGCTCGCGGATCAAAGACCGGGGCCGACCGAGGTGGGGCGCCAGCCCGATCGTCCGGTCGCCGCGGGCCCCCTGCCCCCCCCCCGCCAGATGAGCAACGGCTGGCTTGCCCAGCGCAAACCTGCATTGCAGGCCTCGAATGATAACGCCAATTCCGCGAGCGCAGCATCAGGCAGCCGCCCCAGGCCGACCGGCGCCGCGAAATGCGCGCCCATTCCTGCGCCAGCCCTCATCTGCCTCATCGCAGCCCCGTCGTCGGCGACGCCGGCGCCGGGCAAAAGATCCTCGCGGGCAGCCCCCGTGACCAGATGTTTAATACATAGTTATATACACACAGACAACGAAAGACAATGTCCTGGCCCACAACGTCGGTTACCTCTCGCCGTGCCACTTGCCCGACGTGGCGCCGATGATGTCGCGGGGATGGCACGGCGCTTGACTCGCGCCTTCGGGCTCCTGCCCGACCGCGGGCACCGGGTCGAGCGAACGACGCAGTTTGCCCGGCGACGCTTCGCCCGCAACAAAATATTGAAATTCGCCAAGCGACAGCTGAATACCTCTTCTCTGGGCCCGACTGCCGATCACTGCAGTCCTTCGTGCCAGGCCGTCGAGCGCTCAAAAGCAGCACTCCCAGATTGATTGGCGCACCGACATCCACTCGCGCCGCTTGAGATCCAGGCCCGCCAGCGGCACATTGCGCGCGCGCCCGGGGTCAACGTCAACACATTGTTGCACTGCCGACAGGCGCGCCCCCTGCTGGGCCAGACCGTTGCCACGACGCCGACGACGCGCGAGAGAGCGCAATGGATTCTGCCGCCGAGCCCACCGGCAGCTCAAGCGACCCCGCAGCGGGGGCGCGCTGCTCTCCGGCGGCACCGGGAGCTCCTGCGCCTCGAACAGAATTCCAGCCCCGCGCACGGGCCCTGCCGGCAGCGAGACATCGCAATGATTGGATATAGCAGGTTCAACGGAGGACATCGAATTCGGCAAACTAGAGGGATCTGCGTCGGTTTGAGCCGAACGGCCACGGACGATAACAAGGCCAAGACAGGGCAGATGGAGTCAAGGGGCTGAGGGCCACGCTGGAACCCCACATCCCCCCGGGATCGCTCTTACGTGACCTCGGGGGCGCGGCGCGGCTGAACAGAGGTTGCCGCGCCTCGGGGTTGCGCCTCTGGGCCTGCGCTGCAGATGGCCCTTCCGCCCCATCATCGACGGCAGACCTGGCGCCGGAGAGGCCGCCGCGCCGTGCGATTGCGACGCCGTGGCCTCCGACGCGGATGGGCCCTCCACCGCGCCTTCGATTGCAGGGCTAATTTGCAACGGCGGCCGCCGCGTCATGCGACTTTGTTTTGGGGCCTGCGAAGCGGATGGACCATCCGCAGCCTCGCAGGCACGTTGGAGCGCCGCGCTGGCGCCCGAGCCCGGGCAGACGCGCGCTCGGCGGCCCGCGGGCCCTCCTCTTCAAGCGGCCATTCCGCGACAATGGTCGAACCTTGCATCATTCTGAGCAGCGCCTACAGGCCCAGAGAGGGGGGGGGGGTCGACCCCTGAAACACCCCCATCCAGGCTGGAACGCCCGGGATTGCACGCGACCCTCGAAGGGGGAGTGAAACTTTCCCACCCGAGCCGCCGCCGCCGCCACTCGACGCCGCAGCTGCCCGCGCGCGCGAGCGACAGACGATTTAGATGCGGGCGCGGGCTCAGTGGAAGGGCGAGGGACTTGGGGGGGCGCTGCGGGCCTGCATCGCGCGAGTCGCCAACTGCTGCCCAGAGCTGCGAAACAAATGAACCTCCAGCCCAGCGCGAGGCCTGCGGAAGGGGGGGCACCACAGGGGCCATTTGATTATAAATGGCTTGGCAACAACACGCCAATCATATACTCCATATGAGCACCAGCTGCTGAGGGACGCACGGCTTCGACGCGCAGCGACGATCAGCGCGCCAAGCTTTTTTTTAAGAATCGCGCCTGGGTCAGGGCCGCGGGAATCACGAGCCTGCGACGACCGCCCGCTGGAGCTGCAGCGCGCGCGCGAGGGCAGAGCGCCTCTGAAATGTCGCCGCGCCGGCCCCCGCGAGCCCGATGCCATGCAACGCCTAGAACGCGATCGACGCGACCGTGATGCCTTGGAACTGCGGAGGCATCACTGAGAAGCCGCCGAGCGCCCTGCGGGATGGCGCCTGCTCGCGCCAGCTGCACGCGCAGCAGGAAGGCCATGCGCTCGAAGGCGGTGCTCCGCCATGAGCTTCTCGCCCCCCTCGCTGCCGCGCTCATCCAGCGACGGCGATGCGCGACGATCGCGAGCGCGAGCAGGATTGAACGCTGCCCGCAAGCTTTTGCCACGCGCTTTGCCTTTCCGACGGCATAGGGTCGCCGTTCGACGCACGCGAGTCTCCTCGGACGCCAGCCTGCTCGACGAAGAACCGAGCCTCGCCTCCCGCGCGGGATGCATTCGAATATAGATGGCGAGACGCTCCACCGGTCGCAGGGGCATCAGGCTGGGGCGCAGGCTCTTGGCCCACCTGCCCCTTTACGCCTGCGCCCCGCCTGGAGGTGCCTAGTCAAGACGACGAGGCCTGAAGGGCAGTTGCCGTTCCCCGCCTTCGCGGCTGTGGCGCCGGCCTCCGCCTGAAACCTCGCCTCGGCCAGGCGCCTGCCCTCCGCTTCGACCTCGGCAGCCTGGGCGGCGGCAGCCCGCGCTTCCTGGGCGGCCTCTGCGGCCTCGTTGGTCGCGGCCTTCCCGCGAGAGCTGCGCCGCCTTCGCCGGCCCCTGGGGCGGCCGCGGCGGCGGGGGCGGCAGTCGACCACCTTCGGCGCCCTCTCGGAGATCTCCTCGCAGGGCCTGCCCGCGCGATTCAGCCGCTCGCGGATCTCATCTTCCGCCGCCGCTATCTTCTTCTTGGCGGCGCGCAAGCGCTGGTGGACTGTCTTAAGTCCGTCGCGCGCGGCCCGATAGCATTCCATATCATCAAACTTGATGAGGAACTTTGCGTTCCAGGTGACCTTGAAAATGCTCGGGTCCGCCTCGCCATCGGTTGCCCGCGGGGCGGCTGCGGCTGCTCCAGCGCCCCCTGAGTGAGCAGCGGCTGCCACCGCCGCCTGCTCTGCGAGGGTCGTGTTCGCTGGCGCCTTGGCCGTCCCCTGCTCATTCCTCTCGGTCAGTTGAAACCGCATGTGAGGTCGAACGGCAGCATCTCGAAAAGAGCCACTAGCGCGCTATAGCAATTCCGTGACAGAGGTCTCCTATTACGTGGGACTTTTGGCCTCTTCCAGCCTGGCGACCTGCTGGAGGGGGGACTTCAGCTTTAGATCGCTGGTGGCCGCCAGCGCGCGGTGCAGGAGGGAGGCGAAACCCTGTGGGCCGAGTCGCGGCTCCGCTCTGCTCGCACCATGGCGGCGCCTTCTCGTCGCGTCGCTCTCGGTTGCCTTTGCGTGCCTGGGGGCCGTTGGCAGGCGAGGCGCTCTTCGATCGGCGAAGGATCCGCCTTGGGTAGGCGAGCGGGGTCTCCTAGGGGCGCCGTGCCCTTGGGCTTGAAAATGCGATGCGCTCTGCCCACATGAGTCACACATGCACCCGTTGGTAGCCATAATATATACTGCACGGACAGAACGTCCACAGCCGAACGCCAGAGGATGTAGCTAGCTTTCCTGCTTCAGTCGGCGCTGCACAATCCACTGCGGGGTGCGCGGGCGAAGTCCTTGAAGTGCTGCGCGGAAGCAGTGGATAATGCGCCCCGCCACAACGGTTCGGGCCCAAGTATTTGAAACCCTGGCGGCGCTTGGGTCAAAATGGCTACGGAGGAGGAAAAAGGGGCGGAGGAGGACAAAGAGGCGGAGGAGGAACAGGATGAGGAGGACGACGAGGAGGACGAGGAGGACGAAGAGGACGAGGAGGAGGGAGGAGGAGGCGGCGGCGGCGGAGAAGGAGGAGGAGGAAGAGGAGGAGGAGGAGGAGGAGGAGGAGGAGGAGGAGGAGGAGGAACAAGAAGAGGCGGCGCCACGGCCCAGGTACGTCGGTGCCGTGGTGGGCCCGGGGCGGTATACCCATTCTCGTGGGGAGGGCCCCCTGCGGAGTGGGCCTGGTGTCTCATTCACAGGGGACCAGGCCACGGGGGCCGTGTGGGTAACCCCCGAGGGTTTGCGCGGATCGGTTTTCCGATCTGCGTCGTCCAGCCGGGTACGGGTACGTGTCAGATTCGTGCACCTTGTGGCCCCCTTTGGGCAAGGGGGTTTGTGGGGGTGGCCATGACCTTCCCTCGCCAGTGCCCCCGTCGGTGGTCCGATGGAGGTGTCCAGTGTCCCCCGGCGCAGGCAGAACCAGGGAGGCATGCGGGGCTCGCCACATCCAGTGATCAGTGCTGCTCCTCAAGGAGCACGTTTGAGGCCAGCGTTTCTTCTTCCTCCGTCTCTCTTTGGCCCCTCAGTTTTGTTCGTCGCGCCGTCAGAGGTGGTGCGGCTCGTATGCGCTGGGGTGTCCGCGAGGGCGGTGACGTCTTTGCCCGTTCTCTCAGGTGCGTGGCGCGCCTTGTCGCGCCCGCATCGGGGGGATAAAGAGGGGGAGGAGGAAAAGGAGGAAGAGGTGGAAGAGGAGGAAGAGGAGGAAGAGGAGGAAGAGGAGGAGGAGAAGGAGGAGGAAAAGGAAGAGGAGGAGGAGGAGCCCCATGCCATCCGCCGCCCCGCCAGCCGCGCCCAGCGGGGCCGGGGGAGGGGGCAGGCCGACGCGCAGCCCGCCGACGATTTGGAGGAGGACGCCACGTCGCTCTTCTTCGTGCACAGGCTGATGCCCATCGGCGTGAACGAGCGCAGCCCGAGGGAGAAGAGGAGGAGGAGGAGGACGAGGAGGAGGAGGAGGAGGAGGAGGAGGACGCCGACGACCGAGAAAACTTCGGCCGAATTCCTCGTGCATGGGGTGGGCGACCACGCGGGGAAAAAGGCGGGGTCATCCAACGCCTCCCTTCCTGCGTGCCGCTCCCCCGCCTGCCCAAGGGTTTCCGCCTTGGCCTCCGTCAGGCCTAAAAGGGCGATGCCGCGCATCTCGACGAGGAGGAGGAGGAGGAGGACCCAGAGCTCCGACGATGCGTCTTGTTCAATCCCACTCTCTCTCTCTCTCTCTCTTTCTTTCTCTCTCTCTCTCTCTCTCTCTCTCTTTCTCTGCTTATATTTATATTGTTTGTGTTGTTTCTCGCTCTCGCTCTTCATTGTTAGTATCTCTCTCTTTCTCTCCCTCCTTCTCTTCCCTCCATGTATGTGTATCGTTATCTTGTGTTCGTTGTTTCATTGGTTGTTATATATATATATATATGGATTATGGTTTCTGTCTCTCTCTTTTTCTCTCTCTCTCTCTCTCTCTATATATATATATGTATCGTGTGTGCCGTTTTTGTTGTTTTGTTGTTGGTGGTTGTTTCTCCCTCTCTGTCTCTCTCTTTCTCCCCCCCCCTCTCCTCATCGGCCCTTGCCCCCTCCAGTCGGACACGGTGCCCCCTGCCGCCGCGTCGAAGGTTGCCCCCAGCGCCGCGTCGATGGCTGCCCCCGACCCCCCCGCCGAGCGGCTCGGCGACTTGCCCCTCCGCCACCGGCCAATTGCACCAAGCGGGGTCCAGAGGTCGGGCCAAGCGCGGTGCTCCACCTCATTCGTCTCGACGAGTACCACGACGACGAGGCCGATGAGTTTGATTGCCATGCCCCCAGCCGAGCTGAGGCGCCGCAGCCGCAGCCCCAGTTCTCGCCCCAAGGTGCGCCGCCCCAGGGTGCGCCGCCCCAGGCGCCGCCCATGGCGCCGCCCCAGGCGCCGCCCCAGGCGCCTGGAGCGCTGCCCCGGGCGCCGCGCTACACCAGGCGCCCGAGTCGCCGCGCCAGGCGTCTCAGGCGCCCCAGCCGCCTCGGCGCCGCATGACAGCCCTTCAACGCAGCGGAGCAGGCCAATCCCTTGCGTTTTCTAAGCGTTACGGCGTTCGGCGGCAGGCTGCGGCGAGGACCGCGAAGGCAAAGCTTTCGGATGAGGCGGCAGAGTTCATGCGCCATTTCCGCGCCTCCGACCAGCATGTCGTGGAGGAGCAGCAGAAGCATGCTGTCACGGCGCAACATGAGCGCGCGGTCGTCGATCTGAGCACGGTCGGTCAGGGCGTGGCCTTCGGGCTTTTGAACAGCGGCGCCACGGCCGTAGGATTCAACGTAAAATTATACAAAAAGCGACGTAGGGTCAGAGCACAGACGGCAACCAGCGAGCATCTTCAGCGAGGGTTTTAAGGATTGTGGCCGCAGGCTCGTCGATTTGTCAGCGGCCAGGATCAGGACTTGCAGGGGTTGCTCATAGACGGCCACTTCATGCGAGGCTTCTCCAGGCAAGCGATCACACCATGGTCTTGGTCGAGAGCCAGGCTTCCAGCCAAGGCGTAGGACCTGAAATGCGGCGCCCAGATTACGCCCAGCGAATGGAGCCATAGCATGTCATATGCTGCCCGATCGCATGCCGGGTCGCAAGTTGGCCCCGTGCATCCTGGCAACAGGTTGGGCCGAGCGCGATCGGGGCCTGATTTTCGTTTCGGGTGTCTGGGGGTTGCGCGTGGGCGGCGCCAAGGACAGGGGGTGGCTTTGGAAAGTGTTCGCAAACCGAAAGGGGGGGGGGTAGGGGGGCCGGGGGCGGCAGGGATGGGGGACGGGATGACGAAAGGCAGAGGAGAAGAGAAGGAGAAGGAGGAAAAAGGGGGCGAGGACAGAAGCACAGGCGAAGGAGGAGGGGACGAGGCGGAGGAAAAGGGAAGGAGGAAGGGGCAGGGGAAGTCTCTGGCCGCGCCGCTCCGCGCGTGCCTCCGCGCATGTGCGGTGCGCTGTGAGAGCGGCTGCGGCGTTGGCCCCGTTCTCGCCATTTTCCGCCATGATCCAGGGGGCCGCGACCATGCCGCCATACTCCGTTGATCATGGCTTGCCATGGCAGCGACGCTGCCTTCGGGAGACGCGCCATGGTCGCGAGCATGTTCGGTGCGAGCGCGGATCCCGAGATCAGCTGCTCGAAAGGCAACGCGCCGTTGCGGCAGGGGCTGGCATCGCAGACGCGGTCGAGCTGCTGCTCGCCAGAGGCGCCGCCAAGAACGCCACCATTGCGAAAGGCCATGGCGCGGTGGAGAGAGCGGAAAGCAGTTCTAGCGACTGCTGGCGGGCCCAGCACGAGGCAGGGCGCGCGCGCAGAGACGCGCGAGGACGGAGCCCGCCAGCGGACAGCCGTGACCCCCGCGCGCGCTGCCCGGCACGCCACCATAGGGTTCCTGAAGGCCCGTTGTGTCCGCAATGCGGTATCCGTGGTCATCTTGCTCGCGATTGTCCGTCGGCGGCGAGTCCAGCAACCACACCAAAATCGTCCTCCGCAGCGCACTTGCCGCCCCTCCTCACGCCGAGGCAGCATCCGCGCCGTGATCTCCCGCAACCACCACCTCGCCCACACCCAGGCGTCACGCAGTTAAGATGCTGAAATAAGGACAACTTTGGGCTCGGGAGTGGCTCTGGTTTTTGGGCCGTTCCTTTTTGGGGGGGCTTCGTCGGGATTGTGCACCCCACGGGAAGGGAGAGGGGGGGAACGGGAAACTTCATTGCCTTCAATTCAAATCCCCACGAACCTCGGGCAGTACGTGCGGCCCGGGGGGAGGCGGACCGCTCACCCATCCCACCACCATACGGGGGATGTGAAGACCCTGTGAGCGGGACGGGGTGGGCGCAGGGGGGCCACCAAATGGCATCCCGCACCCAAGTCGTGGCCGTCATGGGCCTCTTTCTAGGGATGAGTCACCCCCTCGGCCTAAGGCTGGGCCTCTATCGACGTACCACAACCAAAGGAAACCGCACCTTTGCCTACCGCATATCTTTGGCAAAAGATAGCAACACTATGACCTATATAATATGATACTTAAACTTCTCACCATTGTGGGCTGAAGAACGGGCTTGATTCCATAAATCCGAGTTATTTATCTTATTTTTTTTTTTTATATTTTTTTGTTTATTTTTTTTTTGTTATTGTTTTTTTTATTTTTTTTTGTTTGTTTTTTATGCCGTTTTTTTAGACGTGGGATCCGTGCCCCCACATTGACCTCATTGAATTCATGGAACTTGGGAGGGGGGGGGCGGGAGGGGTTGTTTTGGTGCCTCCTTTGCGTTCAGCTGCCCTTTCAGGCTTCCTCCAGGTAGTTTGTGACCACTCTGTAGGTCCCGGCGGGCGCAACCGATTCTCGGTCGGCCTACTTGCCATGGCAGGCGGCGGGGAGCAGCAACGTTCTAGGGGAGGTCGTCGTGACGATGTTCGTTATGAGGGTCCACGGGAACGTCGTAGCAGAAGCCGTAGCCACCATAGGGCACGGACGCGGGACACGGGCACGAGCCACCATAGGGCTCGGGACATGGAGCGGACGCTTGCCCATCATAGGGCCAGTGGCCGCTTCAGGAGCCACCATAGGGTTCCTGAAGGCCCGTTGTGTCCGCAATGCGGTATCCGTGGTCATTTTGCTCGTGATTGTCCGTCGGCGGCGAGTCCAGCAACCACACCAAAATCGTCCTCCGCAGCGCACTTGCCGCTCCTCCTCACGCCGAGGCAGCGTCAGCGCCGTGATCTCCCGCAACCACCACCTCGCCCACACCCAGGCGTCACGCAGTTAAGATGCTGTAATAAGGACAACTTTGGGTTCGGGAGTGGCTCTGGTTTTTGGGCCGTTCCTTTTTGGGGGGTTTCGTCGGGGTTGTGCACCCCACGGGAAGGGAGAGGGGGGGAACGGGAAACTTCATTGCCTTCAATTCAAATCCCCACGAACCTCGGGCAGTACGTGCGGCCCGGGGGGAGGCGGACCGCTCACCCATCCCACCACCATACGGGGGATGCGAAGACCCTGTGAGCGGGACGGGGTGGGCACAGGGGGGCCACCAAATGGCATCCCGCACCCAAGTCGTGGCCGTCATGGGCCTCTTCTTGGGATGAGGCACCAATCGGCCTCCCGGATGGGCACCATACGCCCGTCCACAACCAAAGGAAGCGCACCATTTGCCTTCCGCATTTCTTTGGCAATTGATTGCAACACTCATGGACCTTTTTCATTTGATACTTCAACCTCTCTCCAGTGTGGGCCGTGAACGGGACTTGATTCCCCTGCCGGCCGTCCAGTGCCCCCACATTGACCTCATTGAATTCATGGAACTTGGGAGGGGGAGGGCGGGAGGGGTTGTTTTGGTGCCTTCTTTGCGTTCTGCTGCCCTTTCAGGCTCCCTCCAGGTAGTTTGTGACCACTCTGTAGGTCCCGGCGGGCGCAACCGATTCTCGGTCGGCCTACTTGCCATGGCAGGCGGCAGGGAGCAGCAACGTTCTAGGGGAGGTCTTCGTGACGATGTTCGTTATGAGGGTCCACGGGGACGTCGTAGCAGAAGCCGTAGCCACCATAGGGCACGGACGCGGGACACGGGCACGAGCCACCATAGGGCTCGGGACATGGAGCGGACCCCTGCCCATCATAGGGCCAGCGGCCGCTCCAGGAGCCACCATAGGGTTCCTGAAGGCCCGTTGTGTCCGCAATGTGGTATCCGTGGTCATCTTGCTCATAATTATTTTTTCTTTTATTATTTTCTTTTTTTTTTTTTTTTTTTTTTTTTTTTTTTCTTTTTTTTTTTTTTTTTTTATTTTTCTTCGCCTTTTTTTGTTTGTTTTATTTTTTTCTCGATATTTTTTTTTTTGTCGTTTTTATTTTTTTTTTTTTTTTTTTTTTTTATTTTTATTCGTTTCTTTTTTTTTTTTTTTTTCTTTTTTTTTTTTTTTTTTTTTTATTTTTTTTTCGCCGTTTTTTTTTTTTTTTTTTTTATCGTTTTTCTTATGTCTTCCTTTTTTTTTTTTTTTTCTTTTTTTTTTTTTTTTTTTTTATATTTATATTTTTTTTATTTTTTTTTTTTTTTTTTCGCGTTTTCGCTATGAGTTTTTTTTTTTTTTTTTTTCTTTTTTTTTTTTTTTTTTTTTTTTTTTTTTTTTTTTTAATTTTCGATTTTTTATTTTATATTTTTTTTTGGGAGCGGCCACCAACGCATTGCGTTGACGTCGGCATGGGTGCGGCGAGTCCAGCAACCACACCAAAATCGTCCTCCGCAGCGCACTTGCCGCCCCTCCTCACGCCGAGGCAGCATCAGCGCCGTGATCTCCCGCAACCACCACCTCGCCCACACCCAGGCGTCACGCAGTTCAGATGCTGAAATAAGGGCAACTTTGGGCTCGGGAGTGGCTCTGGTTTTGGGGCCGTTCCTTTTTGGGGGGCTTCGTCGGGGTTGTGCACCCCACGGGAAGGGAGAGGGGGGGAACGGGGTGGGCACAGGGGGGCCACCAAATGGCATCTCGCACCCACGTCGTGGCCGTCATGGGCCTCTTCTTGGGATGAGGCACCAATCGGCCTCTCGGATGGGCATCATACGCCCGTCCACGATCAAAGGAAGCGCACCATTTGCCTTCCGCATTTCTTTGGCAATTGATTGTAACACTCATGGGCCTTTTTCATTTGATACTTTAACTTCTCTCCAGCCGAGACTCCACAGGCGCCCGAGGGCGAGGACACGTTCAATGGCAATCGAAGCAGGCGCTGCAGCGCGGGCAAGCCACGGTGGATGCCCGAGCACGCACGGGCAGTGCCAGCACCGCCGAACAGTCAGTGAGCAGGGTCAGGCTTCCAGCCAAGCCACCAGCGCGGAGGCTTCCAGCCGAGCACCAGCCACCAGAGCGCGGGCCCCGCTCCGAAAAGGACCCGAAGCATAGATACACATATGCTTGCGCGTGTATATATAGTGGGTGTACACATATACACACCTATGTATACATAAACGGATGCATACATGTAGCGTCGCACATTTGCTCAGAGGCTCGGCGGGCCGCGACGCCAAGATTCTCGCGGCGCCATCGGGCTGCGCCATGTCTTCGCCATCGCCTCCCGCTTGCGCGAGGCCCCTGGGGCGCTGAGGCTGGTTCCCCTGTTTGGGGGCGTGCCGATGCGAGCGGTCAGCTACAACCCGCTGTCGCTGCGCAGGCGCCTCCGATCGGAGGAGATCAGCCAGGAGCTCGAGCGCCACGACATCGCGGCGCTGCAGGGCACGCAGATGAAGTGGAGCGGCGGCGGGGGCGTCTCGAAGCAGACCCTGCCGAACTACGACGCCTTGCACTGGGGGTGGGGTCGAGGCGGGCACGCCAACAAGGCGTGCGGGGTCTCGATATTTCTTCAAGAAGGGCTTCAAGGTGCGGGAGCTACTGTCGCCGCCGCCGGCCTTGCGGGGGCGCGGCGGCGGCGCGCGCCTGCGGCGCGGGGCACTGGGCGCCCCGGTGCTGGCCCTCTACTTCCCTGTGAGGGGCTTGGCGGTCCAGCGGGCGGCGGCGGAGGCTCTCTTCACGCGGGCGCAGAGGTGCCTCATGGAGACCCCCGCCCGCTGCACGCCGCTGCTCTGCGCCGACCTCAACGACGGGCTTGGCATGGTCAAGCACGAGGCAGGGGTTTGCGTGCCCTTGTCGGAGGCGATAGGAGGGGTCGAGCCCGCGCTGGAGCACGAGTCTGGCGCGGCGTGGAGGCGGCTTTGCGAGGGCTGGGGGCTCGCCACTGTCAACGCGCTTTACGAGGGCTACACTTTGTCGGGCACCACGGGGGCCAGGTCCAGGCCGGATGCGATCGCGATCCCGCGCGAGCTCATGCAGAGTGTGGACCCTGCAAGCCGCTCTACGCGATCGGCGACAGGTTGCAGGCCATCCGAGAGGGATCACACGCCGCTGGGGCTGTCGGCGATGATCACGCCTGCGCATCCCGAGCTCCCCCCCCCCCTGGGCTGAGAGGGCGCAGTGGGACATGGATGCGCGCGCGCAGGCCATGAAGCGCCACCACGGCAAGGCGGAGTTCTTGAGGGAGCTGGAGTACCAGTGCGAGCACCTGGTCCGCCCGCATCTGGAGGTCGAGATCGGCCCCGACGAGGCGCGGGACGAGCTGGTGGAGACGGTGCGCGAGGTGGGCCTGGCGCACTTCGGCGTCAAGGCGCGCGACACGAGGGAAATGGGCGAGGCGGCGGCGCAGCGCAAGAAGTTGTTGCAGGAGCGGGCGGCCATCCGCCGTCGGCATGCGATCGAGGGGGGGGCGGCGACGTCGACGGAGGTCGAGGTGGAGAGGTGCGTGCAGGAGCTCAGGGACGCCACCCGCCGCCTGCGCGCGCTGCAGCGGCAGCAGCGCAGGCGGCTCCGCACGGTGCGCTGCGAGGCGCCGGCGGAGGCGGAGAGGGTGGGCGACGCGGCCGCGGCGTGGAGGCTGGCCCACTTGCTCGGCGAGAGGGGGAAGGGCGCGCGGCGTCGGGTGCACTGCACACCCCGCCTGGAGCACACGGCGGCGGCGCCGCGCCAGCTCTTCAAGGGCCCCGGGCGCCTGGGGGGGTACGCGGCGACGGAGCTGGACTCGAGGCCGCGCCTGGAGCAGCTCAGGCAGCCGCTGGCCAGGCGTTGCTCGGTGCGGGAGGCCGAGGAGGCGGCGGCGCTGGACTTGAAGGAGCTGGAGGAGCGCCTGCGCAGGAGGATGCAGCCTCGGCGTGCAGCGCCGCCGTGGTCGGCGCCTGCGCCTGTGTGGAGGACGTGCTCGGCGCCGGGGTCGGCTGCGGTGCAGGGCGAGGGCGTCGGCTACAGGTCGGAGCACCCGAGCATGGAGGCGTTCCGGGAGTGGCTGCTGCACTGCCTTGCCCTCGTCCGCGCGTTCCAGGCTGCCCCTCTGGCGTGGTCCAGGTCTAGGGAGGCGGACATCGGCAGGATCATCCACGTGATGCGCCCCATCGGCACATGCTACGCCACGGTGCTGACGACGAGGGCCGAGAAGGAGAAGGCGGCGCCGAATGACTTCGGCTTTGTCCCGAGAAGGCGGCGCCCGAATCGCTCTCGGGGCGGGGCGCTGGTGGTCACCGCCGTTGTGGCCGAGCGGGCGGCGCACTTCGGCCTCGCGGCGACCGCGAGCTTCAAGGACTTGAGCAAGGCGTTCCAGTGCCCGTCCGTGGGCGACATGATGCGGGGCCTGGAGGGCTTGGTGCGCGTGGAGGACCATCCCATCGTGGCGCGCAGGGTCCTCGACTACCACTGCGAGGTCGAGACGGCCGAGGGGGTGCTGCGCATGCAGACTAACCAGGGCGTGCTCATCGGCGACTCGATCGGCCCGCCGCTCTTCCTCGAGGTGTTCACACCGGTTGCGACCGAGTGGGCCATCGAGGACTCGGGTCGGCCCGACGCGCAGCTACTGGAGGCGAAGTCCGTCGTCGCGGGCGCAGTGCTGGACCTCAGCCTTGCGATGTTTGCAACTGACCTCTGCAAGCGCTTCGTCTCGTGGTGCCATGAAACGGCGATCAAGAATCACAAGGCCTCGGACGAGCTGCTGGACAGGTTGCTGGAGCCGCGCGGGTTCCAGCAAAACATCTCCAAGCAGTCCGCGATGCGTGCCTTCCGCGGGGTTGGGGCCAGGGCCTGGACGAGGGCCGTCTTCGCGGGCAGGCTCGGCGCGAGGGGCAACTGCTCGACGGTCGCCCGCTACCTGGGCCCGATGCTGCACTACCAGGGCGGCCCTGCGACGGAGATCAGGGCTCGCGCGGCGGCGGCCACGCGGGGCTTCGCGGACATGGGGCGCTTCTGGAAGTCTGAGACCTCCGTCGAGGTGGCGCGGCAGGTCTTCCGCTCCAAGGTGCTGGGGGCCCTCCTCTCGGGGACGGCGGCGGTCGTGCCCGCGCAGTCTTTCCTGGCCTCCCTGGGGGGGGGGGCCGCGCTGCGCCTGGGCCGCTCGGCCCTGGGCGCGCGGGTGTTGAAGGGCTTCCTGGAGGAGGAGAGCTACCAGCACAGGGCCATGCCCTCCCAGGTTGTGCGCCAGCTGCTGCAGATGGCGGACATCGAGACCGAGCTGCGCGCGGTCAGGCTCGGGCTCATGAAGTGCATGGTGCGACATCCTGGAGATCACGAGATGGAGCTCACGGCGCTGTTCGGCCAGCTGCCCTTCGCGCTGCAGCCCGTGCTGGGCGAGGGCGGCCGCTTGGGCGAGGGGGGCCCCGGCGCTCGCGAGGCTGCTGGTGGGCGACTTGAAGCGGCTCTTTCACGCGTCGGAGCGCTTGGACCTGCTGGAGGTGCGGGGCGAGCGCCCCCTCGTGCTGCTGCAGGGTGCGCTGCGTGAGGAGGTCCTTCAGCTCGACCCCCGTGTGCTTCGGGTCCGCGGATGGGCGGCACAGTGCCCGCCGTCGCGAGAGGTGCCCGCGGCAGTGCGGCATCGCTGGTGGACACTGCATGGCGACCCTTTTCGTCCTGCACGTGAGCCGTCTGGCCTCATCGACATCGGTGACTTCGAGTTCGCGTGCCAGGAGCCCTGCGCTGAGGGCCTGTGCGGGGCCGCCTTCTGTTCGGAGCGAGCCCTGCTGTGGCGCAAAATCAGCTCTCGCAAGTATCGGGCGATCGAGTCATCCTTGTGCGCGTCGAATCAGTGTGGGTTCTGCGGGACGGTGCTGGCGTCTAGGGCTTCGGCTGCGCAGCACGTCAGGTTCGCTCTTGCTCGAGGGTACTGTCGGGGAGGGCTGGCGCGTGCTGCGCCGAAGTTGCTGGTCCCAGACGATATTCGATGTCCTGCGTGCGGCGAGCTGCCCCCGGCGCTGGAGCTCCACTACAGCCATTTCCTCTCAGTGCATTTCGCAGGAAGGAGACCTGCCGTGCTGCCGCCGCGGCCCCCGCAGCCTCGCGGCCATGCTGGCCTTGGCGGCTGCCCCGGCCGCGGCCGCGCCGCGGGCGCCAGCCTGGGCCCTGGCGGGCGCGCCAGCCGTGGCCGAGGACGGGGCCCGCGCGGTGGAGGGGGGCCGCCAGGCGGCCGTCGTTTTCGTCGGCGCCCTGCAGGAGTCCCACGCCGCGGGGGAGAGGAGGACCAGGACGGGGCGGCCCCCAGCCGCGAGGCAGGGCCAAGGCCGCCGCGGAGCCTCGCGCCCGCCGCCAGCAGGACGAGTTCGAGGAGACGATGGCATCGATGGCGCGCCTGGTGCTCTCGCACGACCTCCAGATCCGCGACCTCGAGTCGGCCTGCTACATCGCGTTCAAGGTGCCGATCGACAACGACATGATCAAGAAGGATGCGGGCAATAACTATAGCAACATGTTCCGCGGCAAGAGCCCCACGCAGCACGGCCTGAGACCGCCGCTGCCCTACCTCGTGGAGTCGGCGGCGCGCTCCCTCGCCAGCGCGGCGGAGGTGACGGGTACCGACTTGGAGGGCCCAGTGAAGGCGTTCCACGCTCAGGTCAGCGACAAGGAGTTCACGATGTCCAGCTTCAAGTACTTCAAGGTCAAGGACATGTACGACAAGACGCACGCCCGAGTGTGCGTGGCGGTGGGGGTGCCCGAGGTCGCGGCCACGTTCAAGAAGGCCATGATCAAGGTCGGCAGCGAGGAGCTGCTGGGCACCGCGCCGCCAGGCGGGCTCCATCGGAGCCTTCAGGAGTGGTTGGGCCAGCGCTGATGGACGTGATCCGCAGGCTGGTGGATGGGCGCGGGGGGGGGGCCACCGACGGGCGGTCCGTGCCCGCGCCTGCCGAGGCACGCCGTCGGGGCGCCTCGCCCCCGCCCGCCCTTCGGCTGGGGCGCCCGCTCGGCCGCGGGGCTGGGGCGGCGGCGGACGGCGAGGCCGCGCGGGGCGCACGCGCTGCCTCCTCGCGTGAGCGTGCCGCCGTGGGCTGAGCGGGGGCTTGGGCCTCTCTTTCTTCTCTCCCTGGGTCCTGGGCCGTCCTGGGCCCCTGTGTCCCTGGCCTTGGCCCCCTGGCCCCGTGGCCGTCTCTCCTCCCGGCGGGGGCTATTTCAAGAGACAGCGGTTCCTCGGCTGGCGCCCAAACTGTGCTAATAATAATGCATACATGTCTGACAGTCTGTCTGTCTGTCTGTCTGCCTGCCTGCCTGCCTGCCTGCCTGCCTGCCTGTCTGCCTATGTGTGTGTCTGGATGTATGTATGTATGTATGGATGGATGGATGGATGTATGCGTGTACGTATGTGTATGATGCACATGCATATACATCTATGTATACATAGGTCCCTGAACCCACCATGAACCCTTCTTTCCTTCTGGAACTGCCAAGAGGAAAGGAAGGTTGGTGGGTCGTCGTGCTGGAGCGCGCGCGCGTGTACAAGAAGAATATGACAAAGAGACGGAGGGAGGGTGAGTATCGGGAGGGTGTGTTGGAGACGGGTGGAGTGGAGTGTACGGAAGGTGTGGAGTGGACGGAGGCTGTGGAGTAGAAGGATATTTTCAAGTTCAGCTTGGGGAGGGAGCCTGTTGAGTATCGGGAGGGTGTGTTGGAGACGGGTGGAGTGGAGTATACGGAAGGTGTGGAGTGGACGGAGGCTGTGGAGTAGAAGGATATTTTCAAGTTCAGCTTGGGGAGGGAGCCTGTTGAGTACCGGAGGGTGTGGTGAAGACGGGTGGAGTGGAGTATACGGAAGTTGTGGAGTGGACGGAGGCTGTGGAGTAGAAGGATATTTTCAAGTTCAGCTTGTTGGGAGCGGAGACGGGTGGAGTGGAGTATACGGAAGGTGTGGAGTGTGGACGGAGGCTGTGGAGTAGAAGGATATTTTCAAGTTCAGCTTGGGGAGGGAGCCTGTTGAGTATCGGGAGGGTGTGTTGGAGACGGGTGGAGTGGAGTGTACGGAAGGTGTGGAGTGGACGGAGGCTGTGGAGTAGAAGGATATTTTCAAGTTCAGCTTGGGGAAGGAGCCTGGTGAGTATCGGGAGGGTGTGTTGGAGACGGGTGGAGTGGAGTATACGGAAGGTGTGGAATGGACGGAGGCTGTGGAGTAGAAGGATCTTTTCAAGTTCAGCTTGGGGAGGGAGCCTGTGGAGTACCGGAGGGTGTGTTGGAGACGGGTGGAGTGGAGTATACGGAAGGTGTGGAGTGGACGGAGGCTGTGGAGTAGAAGGATATTTTCAAGTTCAGCTTGGGGAGGGAGCCTGTTGAGTAGACGGGTGGAGTGGAGTATACGGAAGGTGTGGAGTGGACGGAGGCTGTGGAGTAGAAGGATATTTTCAAGTTCAGCTTGGGGAGGGAGCCTGTTGAGTATCGGGAGGGTGTGTTGGAGACGGGCGGAGTGGAGTATACGGAAGGTGTGGAGTGGACGGAGGCTGTGGAGTAGTAGGATATTTTCAAGTTCAGCTTGGGGAGGGAGCCTGTTGAGTATCGGGAGGGTGTGGTGGAGACGGGTGGACTGGAGTATACGGAAGGTGTGGAGTGGACGGAGGCTGTGGAGTAGTAGGATATTTTCAAGTTCAGCTTGGGGAGGGAGTTTGTTGAGTATCGGGAGGGTGTGTTGGAGACGGGTGGAGTGGAGTATACGGAAGGTGTGGAGTGGACGGAGGCTGTGGAGTAGAAGGATATTTAATCGATTCGCTCATTCCGCCGGCCCATATTGTCGCACCGTTGTGTGCTAGCCGAGTTTTGGGGCCTCTTGGGGGCCGTTTTGGGGCCTCTTGGGGCCTCTTTTGGGCCTCTTGGGCGCCTCTTGGGGCGTCTTGGGGGCCTCTTGGGGGACTCTTGGGGCCTTTCTGGGGCCTCCTGGGCGCCTTCTGGGGCGGAGGGCTCGATTTTTCAGTTCTCGGTTCCCCTCTTGAGCCCCTCTTGGGCCCGTCTTGGGGCCTCTTGGTCCGTCTTGGGCGGCACTTGGGCCGTCTTGGGGGCCCTCCTGGGCCGTTCCGGGCCGTCTTGGGAGCCTCGTGGGCCGTCTTGGAGCGGTCTTGGGGGCCTCTTGGGCCGTCTTGGAGCGTCCGGAAGCCGAAAAAGCCAGAACGCAAAAAACATAGAAAAAAACAATGAAAATCAACGATTTTGGCCTCTTGGGGCCCTCTTCGGAGGCCTCTTGGAAGGCCCTTGGGGCGTCTTGGAGGCCTCTTGGGCTGTCTTGGGGCCCTGTTGGGCGTCTTCGGGCGATCTTTGGCCGTCTCGGGGCCCTCTTGGACCGTCTTGGAGGCTTCTTGGGGACCTCTTGGCCCGTCCTGGGGCCCTGTAACAGGGCTCCGGCATCTCTGGCCCGACCTTGCCGGGACCTTGCCGGGGACTTGCCGGGGACTTGCCGGGACCTTGCCGGGGTACTTTTCGTCCGGGGACCCCCAGTGGCCGCCCCGCGCGCGCGAACTAGAAATACTGTTAACCAGGTACCGGAGATCTTAGCACGCCCTTGCCCGTTGGGCCGGCGAATTTTCAAGTTCAGCTTGGGGAGGGAGCCTGTTGAGTATCGGGAGGGTGTGTTGGAGACGGGTGGAGTGGAGTATACGGAAGGTGTGGAGTGGACGGAGGCGGTGGAGTAGAAGATGAATGAGTAAACGGCTTCGGATGAATGAGTACATGATGAGTACACATGATGATGATGATGATGATGATGATGATGATGATGATGATGATGATGATGATGATGATGATGATGATGATGATGATGATGATGATGATGATGATGATGATGATGACGGGGGAACGGCCTTGGGGGGGGCTTCTGGGGGGGTCCCGCCGGGGCTCTCCGAAAATGCACGGAAACTATAGGAATTCATATAGTTTTTGAGGAATGAAGGGTTCATGGTGGGTTCAGCGGGCTATATATACATACATGTACACACATACGTGTGTTTGTATGCATACGTGCACATCTGCGCGCGGGCCCCACTGGCAGCACATCCATGCGGTGGAACGCGCGGTCAGAAAGAGTAGCGAGGTGCGGATTCTGTCCGCCCTTCGAGGGCGGCGGTATGTTGGTTGGCTCTTGCATTAAACCGTTTGCGTCCATGGGAAGAGGGGAACGAGGAGGAGGAGGAAGAGGAGGAAGAGGAGGAGGAGGAGGAGGAGTAAGATGGATATCGTGTACGGCTTGGGTGGCACAGGCCGCATGTTTGACCCCCCCGAGGGAATTGCATTGGAGAGCGCAGTCTGGACCCCAGACAACGCACGAACCGACCTAACGTATACCGAGTTGACGTGCCGATCTTCAGCAACGCGGGGGGTTCTAAAGAGATGCCCCCCCGGACAGACCCAAGTGAGAGACAACATCGAACCACAAGTTCTTTAACGTTTCGCGTATCCCCGCCAGCCCATCTTGGCCAGGCAAATTGGTTTGATCATGGTTGATCATGGCAGCGTCGAAGGATGCACTGTAACGGGTTCTGGGTCAGCCTGAGCAGACCCAGAACGAGGAGGAGGACGAGGATGAGGGACAAACGCGAAAGGATGACCAGAACGAGGACGAGGAAAAAGAGGAAAGCGGGGCTTCTTCGGGGCAGTTTTGGGGCTTTTTGGGAGCCTCTTGGGGGCCTTTGGTGGGTCTCTTGGGGCCTCTTTGGACCTCGTGGGGGCCCTTCGGGGCCGAGAGCTCGAAATGTCCGCTCGGGTTCCCCAGCTGGGCTCCCTTGGAGTCGTCTGTGGGGCCTCTTGGGCCGTCTCGGGCGCCTCTTTGGCCGTCTTGGGGACTTGGCCTTGTTGGGCAGCTTTGGGGCCGGCTCAAAAAGCCCCCAAAAACATGACAAGAGGGTTCCCAGACGGCCTTAAGACGGCCCCCAAGAGGGCCCCGAGCAGCAAACGTCATTGGTTTTCATGTGATGTTTTCTGTTCTTTTGGGGGAGTCGCCTTTTCGGCTTACCGACGCTCCAACCCAGCCCCAGAAGCACCGCCACCCGCTTCAAGACGGTTTCAGAGGCCCCCCCAGGGGCGCCCAGAGCACGCAAGAGGCCCCAAAGCCGCCCAAGACATTTCCAGGACAGCCCAGAAAGGCACCGAGTCGCCCCCCAAGTCGCAGGAAGACCACTCCAAGACGCCCGCGGTCGTCCCCAGATGGACCACCACACTCCCGATGCACTCCACGAAGGCTTCCAGACTGCTCAAAGCGCCCCCCAGACACTCCGAAAGGGTTCTCAGACGGCCCCCAAGAGGGGAGGCAACCATCGTCGATGTTCCTGTGGTTTTTGTTATGCTTCTGGGGTGGGTCGCCGTTTCGGCTTGCCGACGCTCCAACCCGGCCCCAGAAGCATCACCACCCGCTTCAAGACGGTTTCAGGGGCTCCCCCTTGAGCGCGCAGAGCACCCAAGAGGCCTCAAAGCTGCCCCAAGACACCTCCAGGACAGCCAAAAAAGGGCACCGAGTCGCCCCCCAGCGCCAGAAGATCACTCCCAGGCGCCCGCGCTCGCCTCCTGACGGCCCACCACGCTCGCAAGGCGCTGCACGAAGGCTCTCAGACGGCCCAAACCGCCCCCCCAGGCGCTCCAAGAGGGTTCCCAGACCGCCCCTCCAGGACGCACAATTCATATGTCTTCCTTTGGTTCTTAATGTTTTTTTGGGGGGGGCACCCTTTCGGTTTGCCGATGTTCCAACCCAGCCCCTGAAGCACCACCTGGCCACTTCAAGACGGTTGCACGGGCTCCCCAGAACAGCCCAACAAGACCCCGAGTCGCCCCCGATTCGCCAGAAAATCATGCCCAGACGAACGTGGTCGCATG